CCGAGCCTCCGCCCTCCAGCCCTGGACCCTCGGGTACCGAAGGGTGACGGGCTCGCCGTCCAGGAACGTGCACGAGGGCGGCGTCTCCGTCGTCCGGGAGGGGCTTTGGGCCGCGTTTGGAGCTGGCGCGTTTGGATAGTCGGTGTGGGGGTGGGAGGGGAAGGGGGACCATCCCGCCCCGCGGAGGCGAGTGTGGGTGTCAGATTGAGGCGCGGACACTCAGGAAGACGTGGTGGTCGCGGGTAGAACCGGGAAAAACCGGGGGGGGGGGGGCTGGAGGCGAGGTGCCCCCCGGAGAGGGCGTGCAGAGCTCTAGCCACCCCGCGGTTTCCCGAGCAGCTGTGCGGAGATTGTATGGCTGTCAGCTTCCTTTTTTTAAAAGTTTTCCTATCCTTTTGCTTCTCCCAGGCCAGCGTCCCCATTCCTCGGGCCCGGTGTGCCCTCTCGCGTGCCCGTCCACACTTCTCTCCTGTGGGCTTAGAGCGAGTTGTTAGAACTGACAACCAGTCCGCAGATGGCAAGCCAGAGCCTGCGGAAGTCTCTGATGAATCAGTGTTTTAGCTCTAGCTCCTGAATGTAAAAGCTCATAGTGGATTCTTATCCTGAAATCGGGATAAACGAGGCCTCCGTGGTGACGGGTCTGCACACATGTTCCTCTTCTGTGACAGTGGTTGTGGGTCATTGGCCCTTGAAGGGGATTGGGGAACTCGGGGGTGGGGGCCCCCCAGGGACCCAAATCTGGGTTGCCCGCCCTCTTGATCATTCTGTCAGGGCCCCAGGGACTGGGAGAACCTTCTGGAAGGACAGATCTCTGGACTGACATGCAGAGTGTTAGGTGTTAGAGTCCTAGTGAAAGGAATACAGACTCAGAGGCAGGTGGGTTCCAGTCCAGCTCCACCGTTACTGCCTGTGACACTGCTGGCCTGGCCAGCTCTGCCTGCCTTTGCGGGCAGAAGTGCCTTTTCCGAGAGTCTGCACAATACTGGTAAGTGCCAGAGGGACTACAGGGGGTGTTTGCTATGGGGCCTTCTGATTGTAGAAAGTAGCCATGTTCTTTGCAGAAAATTCATAGAACAAAGAAACATTTTAAGTGTACGATTTTATGCATCTTGACACATGTACACACACACCTGTGTTTCTTCTTCTTGAACGACTCTGAGCCTTTGCTTCCCTCTTAAAGATCCAGATCTGAGACAGGGACTCTGTCCGGTTCACTGCCTCGTCCGCAGCTGCTCGCACACGGCCCAGAGCACAGTAAGCCCAAGCTGCACGCACACTGAGCACGTGCTGGAATGTGGACCCCATGCCTTCGGTTCATCGGGGGACCATATGGTCTCTCTACCCTCCCTAGTCTTTCGCAGTAGGAAGTAGGACTCTGTACCCTCTAGTCTTGGGGTTCTTCCAAAATGGGGAGGCTGTGGGATACCGGCAGCCAGTCCACCAGCATCCACAATAGCCCCTCATCTGTCTCAGTCTCGCCTGCCTCCATCCCTCTCCATGCAGGCAGGTCAGTGTTTCTGAGATGCAGGTGCTTTCCCCTCAGGGGAAGTGTAAGCACCTGTGTGGTCTGCGCCCCTTTGCTCTTGGCCCTGCCACTCAGCCTCAGCTCACTCCTGTTCCCTTAAACAGAGCTTCTAGCCACACTTAGCTTTTGGGTTTGTCACCCCCCCGCCCCCCGCCGCCGCCATTTTCCATGTTTGAGGAAAACACATAAAGTTGCAGGTTAAACTATTTAATAGAACAGATGTTTTAAGCACCTTAGAAACACCCATCTATATAATAAAAGCCTAAGCAACCGTTAAGACCAATCGACTGCTCAACCGGTAGACCAGTTACTATGATGCACACAGACCACCGGGGGGCAGATGCTCAATGCAGGAGCTGCCCCCTGGTGGTCAGTGCGCTCCCACAGCAGGAGCACTCCGCTGCTCAGCCAGAAGCCAAGCTCATGGCTGGCAAGTGCAGCTGTGGCAGCAGGAGCCTCTCCCGCCTCCGCGGCAGCGCCACTGAGCGGCAGCAATGGCAGGCACAGCGGGCCAGGATGAGCAGGAGCGGCAAGGTGCCCGGCCCCAGCTTGGGCTCCTCCCTGGCCGCCTGTCACTTCGCACACTGCTACAGCTCTCAGATCGACCGAAACCAGCAGTCTGACAACACCCAAGGGGTCCCAGATTTCGAGAAAGAGCAGACCAGGCTGAGGGACTCCACCAGTGCACGAATCCGTGCACCGGGCCTCTAGTTTAATAATAAAAAGACACCTTATGGACTTCAAAGAATTCATCCCTTACCACTCTTGCTTCAGGCCTCGCCTGCTCTCCTGTCTCCATCTGGACCCTCAGGATGGCCATCGTGGGTCCCAGACCTGGGCTGGGTCTTCCTGCTGCGTGTTCCCCCCATTCACATGCGTTGCCCTTCTCTGCCCTACAGTTAAGTCAAGTGCTTGTTGCCTGTTGGACATTTTCCTGCCAGAATGTAAGCCACTGGAGGGCAGGGCCGCCTGTCCTGCTGACTGAGTAAACCAGATTTATGTTCAGATAGCTGCCCTAGTGGTGGTGAGGAGAGCTGAGTGCTAACGAGTTACAGCTACAGACTGACAGCCTGTTGGCGAAGAATGACCAGGATGTGCTTTTCCTTCGCCTCAGCAGTTTCACATCTAAGATTCATCCCAAGGAAATGAGATTTTTGTGCATGGATGTGACTCACATTCTTACTTATGGCTTGCAATATAGGAGATGGCATACATGTCCAGCAGTAGGGTTGAGAACTCACAACACACTGTGCACACATTAAAAATTACACCATAACAGGCCAACCTTCTGACTTGGCAACATGTATCACCTAATAAATTAAGACACAAAATAGGTTATAGAGAAGTATGATCCCAGTTTTTAGAAATATATACTCTAAAATGTTTATTGTCCTTATTTTTGGAAGATGAGGCTATGAGTGGTTTTTTTCTTTGTTCTATGAGTTTCTGCAAAGAACATGGCTACTTTATTTCTCACGGCTACTTTTTCAGAAAAAATTTTATTTACAATATTAAAAAGTAATCTAGCTTATAAAAATCATAAGTATAATAAACCCTCATATTTATATGGCTTTATTTTAAGATAATTTAAGAATTTTGGACTGGGCAGATTTTACTCAACCTGAGGCAACTAGTGAGAAATGTTTAATGAATAAATTTATAATCTAAATGAAATCACATCACACCAATTTATGAAGTCGGTCTTGTAGAGCTCACTTTGCAGATAAGAAAAATGGAGCATATAGAATAAGGTAACTTGCTCAGAGTTTCATTGCAAGGAAGTGGAGGTTGGGCTTAGAGTGGTTTTATTCCAGAGCTTTTCCTTCTGTCGTCAGTACTGCCCAGCGTCTGCCCCGTCTTCCCAGGACACAGTGTGCAGGGGTCTGCCACCAGCTCCTGAGCGTCTGCATCTTCTTTGCACCAGTCTGACTCTTGGCACCAGTGGTCATGGCAGCTGTGGGAGGTCTTCCAGGGCCTCCGAGTCTGGACATGTACCTGGGCACAGTCAGGTGCGTCGTGGTGACTTCAGGCTTCCCATTTCTTGTGTGAGTAAGCTCCTTACTCTGACGATTAAAAAGTAAGGAAGACTTCATTCCAGACTTGCCATGGGAGGGAGAGGTAGGGCTCAACTTCAGATAGGGCAGAGGCACCTGCCAACAGGCAGAGTGAAGGATCAGCAAGAATCAGGCAGGGGATTCTCTCTCTACACTGACTCAGCAGCATTCTTGAGTCAACTGGACTGGGCAGGGCCAGCAGGAAGCCTAGGGTTGTGCCTTGTGGAGAAGAGGGCCCTGGGGAGCCTGCTTGGCGTTGGTCCAGGAGAGTGTCTGTCAGTGCCCAGTGAGCCTGTGGACAGCCCTCAGACAGGTGGAGACCACCTGAGTGGCAGCTGCCCTTAGCTGACTTGCTCGCCTGGTTGTCTGTGGATCCATAAATACCCGGGAGACATTGAGCCAACACTGTCCCACAAGCTGCCCTGGGACAATCCTCCTGGAACCCTCAATCCCTGTTCACACCTTCTGTGTACGGATTCCCCATCAGTTGCTTTTATTTTGGTGGCGCAAGCAGGGAGGAAAGGAGCTTCTGAAGAAAGCAGACTGTCGATGCCCCACATCAGCCCTGAGGGGCCTCCCTAAGTGGACCAAGGCCCAGCCAGCATGTGGTCATTGAAGACGCAGAAACGAAGCAAGGAACGAAAGGACTGATCGTCCTAGTCATCCAGGGCCACTGGTGAACATCCACCTGGCACCAGGGTGTGCCTCTGGCTTTCCTCTTCACTCCTGATCAGAGACCAGACACTGGTGTTGCTTGTTTGTAGATTTTTGGCTTGTGGAGACAAATTATTTGATAAAGATAAGTCCAAGGTTATGGTTCGATTGCTCTGTAGAACATGAACCTGCTTTGTCTCCAAATTGAAAGGCTTGATTTAGTCAACTCCAGCTCTTCCGATGCCCTCTGCACGGTGGGGCTCTGACACGGGGGGCGGGGGGCAGAGGGGAAACACTGTCCATGTCCTAAGGGGCTACAACCACTGGGACTGGGTGTCCTGCAGATGCTGCTCTGCGGATGGGATGTGTCCAGTGGCTGGCTCTGAGTCCATTTGTCCCTATGTCTGGATTGGCTCCGGACCTGTTGGTGCAGGTTGGGCTGATAAGTTTTTGCTGAGGCACGCCTCTCTCCATTTCTCTGTCTGCTGAAAGATTGTGAATAAAGGAGCTTCTGGACTTGTCTTCTGTCCACTTCTTCATTTACTGCAACCCAGTACCTGGGATTGGTCTGGCTGTCAGGACAATGAGGCTGTTCCTGGCGGTGAGGCCGCCTCTGGGATGGCTCCCTGTGTGCCTGTGGCTGCTCTTCTGTGAGATGTCCGGCACTGGTGCTGCTTGAGGACATGGGCCTACTGGTTACTCTCCCTCTGCCCACACTTGGTGATTCCTGACCTCTCTTTACACACCTGCCCTTTGATGCCTTCATTTATTCACTCACAAATACTGGCCCTCGCACAGCAGACACTGCTGGTGCCGGGTGTGACAGTGACGTCTGCCCTGGAGGGGCCCACATGGAGAGAACGGTCTCCCAGGCTGTGTTTTGGGCAATATGATTCCTACCAAAGGAGATACAACTTCTGTTTTCTTTCTTGGCAGTGAAAATTTCCTTATAGTTTACAGGTAGAATCAATGAAATTATACATACATGTATGTATTTAAATAATCTTTAATGGTAGAGACTGAAAAACACCTCAGTATTACTCTTACCAATTTAAAAACAAAAAAATTGTTAAAAAGGTAATGGCCACAAAATAATCTTTTTAAAAAATATTTTTTAATTCTCACCAGAGGATATGTTTTTTATTGATTTTAGAGAAGAAGGGAGAGAGAGAAAGAAATATCCATTGGTTACCTCCTATACACCCCAACCAGGGAATGAACCTGCAACCTGGTGTGTGCCCGGCCCAGGAATCAAACCTGCAACCTTTGATGTTCGGGGTACGCTCCAACTACTCAAGCCACCCTGCGGCCAGGGCCACAAAGTTATCTCTTTAGCATTTCATTTCCCACCACTCTGCCTGTGTTGACAGGTGGTGGTGTGGTGTGTGACATACTGAGCTGAAAATGGAAGGCCCCTCTGCTGTCACAGGTTCCCAGACCTTTGTGTCTCCAAATTTTTCTTTGCAAATGCCACACAAGAGCACATTGTAAGGTAACATTCCTGAGGTAGTTTGTGATTCAAAGTGGGAGAGATTGGCAGTGTGAAAAACAGGAAAAAACTGTGTGTGTTTAATTAAAATAGTGAGCTTTTCATTGCTGGGGTGAGAAAGGAGGAAAAACATTTGAATGAAATCAAAGCAGAGCTGAGCCCGACTCTGTAAAATAAAGAGGAGAGTGTTTTTGGAAACTCAGTGTTGTCACTTGCAGTTTTAGTAGAAAAATGCTGGAAACAAAAATCCTTTTTGTTGGTGAGGGAAGGCAGCCAGCCCAAGCATGGTGGGCGGCTGCACAGATGGGGGCCCCGCCTGTGGGAGCTGGGGTGAGGGAAGGGTCTGCTGCGCTCCTGGCTGCTGGCAGGCCTGAGGAGGGGGGTCGGCAGCACCCAGCCTGGAGCCTGGTGAAAGAATGGAAACCTAGTCACACTCACAGTTTGTAATTTACTTTTGCTTCCTCATTGTCAACAAACCTGACAAGCCTGCTCTTTTCAAAGCTAGGCCTAGAATAATGGCCTGGAATTTGAGAAGTCTTTTAACACCCTTTCCAGACTTGTACCTAGCTACCGCTGGAGTGTCATAAGAAAAACCCCTCTGCTTCAGAAATATGGTGTAACCTTCCTCGATGTGGGATCCATGCCCGGAGGTCCAAACTGCAACCACCTTCTTGTTGAGATAATGATCAAAAGTTGCATTACTTGATAATGCTCCCAAGATAAATGCCTGTTTGTCTAGTAAGAGCTCTACAGCGGTCTTGGTGTGTGGATGCATGTGTTCCATTATATTTAACTAGAGGCCCGGTGCACAAAAATTTGTGCAC